CTCATTAATGAGCAAAAGTAGGTGGATATAGAAAAATTAGTAAGCAAGGCATTCGTTATTATCTCTATTTAACTCATAGTTTCAGGCAGTATCCTCTTTTTTCCACAAATGCAAAAGAGAGAGAAACCAGGAACATTACAAATATGTGCCAACCATAACTGTGTGTCACACATGACAGTAAAATGAACATATTTAACGATCAGTTCATGAGTTTTGTTGTAAAGTTTTGCATGCACAGTTTGTATCATCACCAACCAGTGAGGGTGTGTCCCCTGGCGAGGATTCCTGCTGGGAATACGGAGGGGGTCACTGTCCTCTCCTCTTCTTCTCTGCTCCTCCTCTTCCTCGTCCCGCTGACTCTTCCTCTCTGCTCTCTGTCCGGTCGGTCTGTCCAGGGGGGGCAGCAGCTGAGTCTTCACCTTCTCTGACAAACTGTCTGCATCTTTGAACACACTGCAGAGAAGAGAGATGACTTCATTTATTTTTCAGCTCTATACGTTTATTTTCTGACTATACCAGAGTTGCTAAGCATGACTCACAATTCAAAATAATCTTTAGTTATCAAACAAACTGCCCTTCAAGGCCACCCTCCCTATCAGACAACCTTTTTATAATACCGTAGGCTTTTTCCAACAAATAAAAGATTTCAACAACAAGTGGGTGTCAATCTGAGATGACCTTAAAAGGCAGGCTGAGTACGAGGCATACTTTATTACTATTTATACATTTCTTCCTAAAGTTGGAAAGTTTGTCCCTTACAGGATCCAGAAGTCTAACACAACAATTAAAATAATCAGAACAACATAAGACAATAGAATAAAAGCTTAATAAAGTAGAGCAGCTCAAAAAAAATAACCTGTCAAATGTGTGAAGCTGGTCAGTGTTCACGTGGTCGTTGATGTTCACCGTTAAGTCCGACACCTGCTGTGTGCTGGAGTTCTACACACACACACACACACACACACACACACACACACACACACACACACACACACACACTCCATTAAAAACATAGATTAACATGGAGAATAATATCTCAACAAACCAGCAAATAATAAATTGAGCCTAAATCATATTTTCTTATTTTACGCAACTGTGTGTCAGATCTTTGCATAGATCTACATTTCTCCAGTCTTACAGTGCAGTAATACGACCCATGTACGAATGACAAAAACTAAAACTCACTGAACTAAACACTAAACTAATCGAAACATTTTAATCGATACAAACTCGAATGACCGGAAAAAACCCCACAAATTTAAAAGTAAAGTGTTTGCGACCTCACCCCTGGCTGCAGTGATGTCTGCTCTGAACATCAAGATTCAAACTTAGAAAATCTGACTTGATCCCTTTTAAGGCTTTTTATGGATCCTTACATCAGGACTGAAATGCAGGATAAACTGGTCGGTCTATATCAGTGCTCTAATGAAAAATAATCCGGAGGAAAAAATCTTCTTCTTAACCTCCTAAGACCTGAACTCTTTCATGGCATTTTAAAATTTTCTTTGCTATTTGGGCTGATTGGAACCTGATGAATTTAAAAACTAAGACTTACCAGATTTCTTTTTTTTTTTTTTACATAATTTTTGTTTCTGAGAAAAACGAGATCCACATATGAGGACATTCGTTTTAAACTTTGATAGAACAGTGGCAGTATAACGTCCTCGTAATTATGCAAAATTTCAGGTTTCTGCTGTCATTAATAGAGGGAAAAAACCCCACACACTACCATAATTTTTAAAGCACTATTTTAAATTGCCATTGTCTAGAAAACTAATTAAGACCAGTCCTTCAAATGTTTATGTGCTTACCATCAGATTGAAGATCAAGGTGGAATCAACAGTGATTGCCTTGAGGAGCATTTGGGTGTCACTGTTGTTGGCTTTGTATCGCAGACTGTACAGCTCTTTGTTGTTACTCCAGTCAGCAGGCAGCAGCTCGGACTTCTTATCACTGCTGCGGGCCTGGAGCAGGAAGGTCACAGAGGTCGTGAAGACAGATAAAAACAAAGGGGGTCAATTCAATCAGAAACCTGCTTTTTCTTTTCACAATATTTGTTATCAGAATTTGGCCAGTTCACTGCAAATAACAAAACAATACATAAGAACTACAGCAAGAAATATGTGTTATTATTAGATATAACATATACTAATCTCATCACTAAGGCTGTAAGATTGTTGTAAAAAATTGTAAACATATTGCAGATTCTTGTGTTGCTGCAGTAAAACAGACTAAAACTAGCTAACATAAACAAGACTAACCCTATAATTAAAATGTGACAAAACAACATTGGTCAATAACGTAAAAATTCCACATAATAAAATAAAAAACGAACGTGGAAAAAATAAATATAATAATGATACACATAAAAATCCAGTAGAGTGAATTCATTTTTTAGGTGCATAAAAATTTCTCATTATTTATATCTAAAGAAAAAAAAACTTTTCACCGTGTCATCATGTTCAAAATAAAGAGAAATGTCTCATTTGGAACTGGGTCACTTTCCTAAATGGTAGGTGTCATTCCAGAGTGTTTTTATGTAAAACAATCACACAGAGATGCCAAACGTTTCCCTTTTCACGTTAAATCTCATTATAAATGCTTCATTTTAAAAATAATACTGATTACCTGTTGATTTCTGTAAAATGAACAATGGGAGAGGGTGGAGGATAGCAAGGCTGCACACTAACACGAATCTGTGTCATAAACTCCCGTGGTGTTTCAGGATGACTGCCCCCAGTGGGTTAGCCAGCTAAAGATGACATGACAGTTTTGGTAAACTGTCCCTCTTAAAACAGATGCCGTCAAACTGAATATCAGCCATGACAGTTGGATTAAAGAAACCTAAAACGCATTTCTCACACTTTTAAATTCTTCGCGTTAACGTCAGCTTCACACGGGAGGTGATGCTTGTTTATGAAGCTATAGCTAATGTACGTTGAGAATTACATACAGAACTCCCTTGGAAAAACCGACATTTTAAGAATTATTGGAATTACGGTCTGAAAAACATCGAAAACCACATACACAGAATCTTTTTGCTAATGTTTAATTTGCATTCCACAATTTGGCGTAAGAATGATGTAAAAAGAAAATATTATCTTTGCCATAATGTGGGATAATTTAACACAAGATTTAGCTAAACTAAGCGAACTCACCTCGTCTCCTGAGCCGATGCACCTGTATCCGTTCTTTATCAACTCCCAGTGAACAAAACACACAACGGCGTCCTGCGGGCAGGTGATGTTACCTGCGACACAGGTGTACAACACCTCCAAGCCAGCCATGTTTTCCTTCAATCTGCCAACATCGGTACAGTTTCAGGCAAAAGAAATGAAAACGAAAGTCTGTGTAGCAGCTTCACTGAGTCAAGCTGCAGTTCGGTGCCAAGCAACAGGAACCATTTCCGCTTCCCGGCTTTTCAGTTTAAAAGCACCAGGGAGCTGACCGAACGGCACATATCTGCAAATATCCAGTGATATTATGTGACGTAATGACCTTTTTTCATTAAGCTTTATTTCTATTTCATTTAGTATTTTTAGCTTCAATTAAGTTTCATTTTGATTCACTCTCAGATTAGGTTTTCTTATTTCAGTTCAGTTTTTCTTAGTTTCTGGGTTACTTTTACTATAATGTGAGTGTATTTGTAAGGGGGAAATTTAGACGAAGTATTAAAATACAAACTCAACTCTTCATGTCATGTAGGCATGAAGTGTTGCGTTTCTCAGCCTTACAAAACATGTGCACCAATGCACCAAACTAAAATATTTTTCTCATACCTGGGTTTTATTTTGTTTGGGTTAAATATAATAATGTTGAAATCGGCCCTACTTCAATTCATTGCATCTTAAAAGAGCTCATATCTCTGTATAACTGTTAATTTAAAACAGGGGCCTCAAACTCGCAGGCCGGGGGCCACTTGCAGCCCACGTCACCCCTACTTGGGGCGTGTATATTGACATGAAGAAATATAGTACAATTTGACCCTTGAAGTTATTTATTTATTTATTTATTTATTTATTTATTGTTAGGGTGCAATAAGTGCAATGTTAAAATAAGTTCCTTAAAAAGCAAAAAATGATTTTATATGAAAGCAATATGAGCAGAGAGTACAAACATGTTGAGGGATTGGCTGTGTTAGTTCAGTGAGAGTTATTTGTAAAGAAAACAGTTTTCACTAGCAGTCAAAAATCACTTATTTCTGCATTTTTATGTTGTTAAATAAATATAACAGAAATGCTGCCACGTGTCTGGCCAGAAAGAGAGTACCAATTTGTTTATTTGGCAGTTCAATGAAAGGCTTCAGTTAGTTAATAGTGAGGGAAGAAATGCGTTCACCTTTGCAATTTTAGCTTGTTATACAATATTTGAAATTCAAAAACAAACTAAACACTACATTTTCTAAGATATTTGTGTGTTTTCTTGTTTGTTTGTTTTTGTACTCCTAGAACACTAAAGTGCTCTCCAATAAGATGACAATGCCAGCAGTGGCCTACAGCTTTAAGACCCCTGATCTAAAGAATAAAGATATGTACGCATCAAAAACACAAGCGATAATTTAAAAAAATCTAAAATGTCAGTTGATTAATTTTCAGACGGCATTTTATGCTTGTTATTGTATTATTTGTGTGAACCTATTTTAATGATCCCAACTTGATCAGGAAAAAAGTAAATTTATATTTTTAAACCGAGTCAATTTTGTTTTGATAAAACAAACGCAGGGTTAGCGGAAGCGCAGTGGTTCACTGTGTACGGCTTTTTGTTTTGATCCCATTCAAATAGCCTCCGGATCAAAACAACTAAAGGACAATAAATGTTCCGCTTTGTGTGCTTGCTCTGTTTGTGAGAGTGTGTTTCAAATGTAAAATGAATCATCAGTTGACATCAAGCAAACATGTAAAAAGATATCACATGCACCAAAAATTATCTATCTATCTATCTATCTATCTATCTGGACTTTTGGTTCCCTCCCACCTCCCTTCACGTTTGGAGACTTGATTTCCCGTCGTGCACCTCGCAGGGCGGACAGCGCTTCCTTGTCAAGATGGCGGCTCCCTTGACTCTGCTGTTGATTGTGGCCGTTACGATCCGTGCCGCTTTGTTCCGGTCCAGTTTGGCGGAGCTGATTGCAGAGAGGGTGGAGGTGGTGTCGCCGATAACCGCCTGGAAGAGAGGTAAGCGCGGGTCCAGCGGTTTAGAGCCGCTGCGTTCCGTTCACGTCCGGGTCCCCTCACCTCTCTCTCATCCGCGCTGTTATCCGGTAACTCGGTCAAACCGGTTCAGCTGCAAAAATCAGCAGCTGAGACTCAAATTCAGAAAGTTCGGTGATGTTTTACTGACATTAAGCTAACAACGGACACGTTTTACTTTCTGTAGGGGAAGATTTAAACAAGTGTTTCTTTGCTATTTCCAATGAATGGAGCTCAGTGGTTGTTTCTCTGTCAAACATCCATCGGCCACCAATAATAATGACGACCAGAGTCTCTGCCAGCGGCTGAACAAAGATCTGCACAGTCTCTAGTATTTGTGGACCCCCTGTAAATGACCCCCCTCCTATGACCCACATTCGTTTCCACGGGGTTATTTGCGCATAGTAAAGTAGACGTTACACCTGTACAACATCTGGCTGACGTGTATAGTGTGTGTATAATGTTACATCAGCAAGTGTTTAAAAATTAATTTCCACAGCTACAGCCAATTTAAAATCACTACTTAGCCTAACAGGCACATGTCCCCCTGCCTTCAGGACCTGCTTGCTGTGAGGTGATGGTGCTAACAATTGCACCACCGTGCAGACACCCTAATTTGGACAAAAGTATACAAACAGACTGAAATATATACATACACCCCCATGAATATTTGTTTAATTGCCCCTTAGCAACTGACTACCTCTTCTGTAATCATTGATTTATGAGGGCTCAAAAGTGATGGAGAAAATGCACATACCCCTGCCCCATGTGCTTCGATGGCCAGTAAATATCTGAGAATAATTAATGTACAAAAAAAATCAACTGGTTCACAGTGGGAGGCACTCACTGATTTGACTTTATTATTTGACAAATTTGTATCAGCTTTCCATTAGTTACCACAGACAAAGATTTTGTTTTAGATGAATTTGTGAAATATTAGTGGACTGTGTTTAAGTTTCCATTTAGCATATTATGACACGGTACCTGACAGGAGCCTGAGGTGCAGGTTTGCAGTCAATCGGAGGTTTTTCTGTAAAACACAAAACATGACCAACGTGCTGTGAGACTCGCACAGAAACACTTCGTGCATTTTTCATTCGTGCATTCAAAGACAACAGCCCAGTGCTAATAAAAAAGATTAAAAGTTGGAGATTTTAACAGAATTTATGATTTTGGCTTCTAACGATAGTGGAATAGAGAAAAATTAGTTTAAAATGTCACTTCACTCTCGAAATTTCAGACCAAATTCACCAAGTTGAAGTTCCCTAAATGCAAAACTAAACATTTTCCATAGTAACCAAAATAATTGTGGTTGTGATTTTTATTGTAATATAGCAGTTTTAATAAAACTGTTTCTCTGTTTGCTGTTTCTTTGCAGTTGTTGAAGGTTTGGCTCTGCTTGATTTGGGAGTTTCACCATATTCTGGAGATGTTTTCCACGAGGTGAATCTCTCTCTCACACAAACACCTTTTACAAAGTCTGAGTGAACACTGAATGTATATTTGTACATTAACCTGAAAATAATCGGAAAATATGAAGGCGATGGTCTGGAAAACAAAGATGAAACATTCTAGATTCTCCTTATTTCTTGGTGAAGCATCACAGTGGAGGGGATTAGAGACACAGGCAACATTTCTAGAAACTTCTTTCAACAAAAGGTCAGATTTCCACTGAAGCAGCATTCAGATAACACCCAGGTGGAAAATTTGCTTACTAAGCAGCTGTGTAATAGCAAGAACTTCATCATCAGAACAAAGTGAGAGTGTCAGAGTCAGATCTTCTGAGTGAGGAGGGGCCTCCTCAGAGTCGGGCCATGGCTGGACCAAAGGTTTCTAAGAGATTAAATAGATACTCTAAAACATCCAGAGCAGGGTAGGGTGAGCACATCAAACTTTGTTCACAGATAATCAACATCAACAAACACAAAACGTATTATATCAAGATCACAAGAATCAATCAGCTGCCTGTTTGTAGACTCAAAGGATGAGTAGCATCTGTAAACCACCTCTCGAATGTCACATTCACACCAACAAAGTGCTGGTGCTCAGTCTGAAACCAGTTCCATGCATTTCCAGGTGCCGTGTTGGTGGAAAACGGACAATAAATGTCTTATTTAATTATATAGACGTGCTGGGATGTTTCATTTGTTCCTGGTTCTTGATTTTTCCATGACATGCTTGCACCTCATAGATGGTGTATTTCTACAACTGAGATCTGAGTCAGCAGAAAATTATTTAATGTGTCTGAAATCCACAAATGAGGCATGTTGATGTTTAGATGTTCATGTTGAATTCTCCTTCTGCTCTGATCCTTTCAGACTCCTCTCATCATCTACATGTTTCACTTTTTGGTGGACTACGCAGAGATCACATTTATGGTGAGTCTGAATACAAAACATCATTTTGAAGCATTTTTTTCTTTGGGGGCAGTCTCATTACTGGAGAGGGACGGCTGAGGTGGAGCGGACTTGTGCAGAGGATGGATAGGGAATATGGGTCTTGGCCAAGAGCTGCCAGGTGGGAGGAAAAGAGGAAGGCCACAGAGAAGATTCAGAGATGTAGTGAGGGAGGATGTTAGTGATCGGGTGACATGGAGGCAGATGATTGTGACAACCCCTAAAGAAGAAGGAGATTAAACTCTGAAGTGTGATCAAATTGATTGTAAAGCCACACACAAACCTCAAACCTTTTTGAGGCTGATGTTGATGAGAGCTGGTTCTCTGAGCACAACCCAGAACCTGAACGGCAGGTTTCAGTGTCAATCCACAGTTTTAAAGTCCAAAGGCATCAGCAGAGACACCAGGAGCGTGCTCGATGTTCGATGCCCACAGCATTATACATGAATTCATAAACCAGGATTCATCGTTAATGCAAAGGTTTAATGTGATTCCCAGTAACATCTGAGAGACCAGATTCAGCCCTGGAGTAGAGTGTCTCCACTCTCACCAAGAAAACAAGAGCTTCATGGCCACACTAATACGATCTTCACTTATCATGAGCCGTGTTCACCACATTAACCTCCTCGCTACTTTCCATAAAATAGAGATTTTGGGGTGGAGGGCACAGTGGAGGACACCCAGCTCTTATCACAGAGGACCAGGCACAAGGGTCAGAACAGATTTCCCTCAGAGCTTCTTGAAAATAGCAGACATCAGAGTGAGATGACCTTGAAGTGGAAATGCAGCAAATGTTAAATCAGGCATACTTCATTTTACCGTTTCTGTCTCCTCAGCTGGCCGACGTGATCACCGCTGTGGCTCTTTACATGGCAGTGAAGGAGTACAACAAACAAGTGGTGAGAACACATCAAAATACACAGTTTAAATACTTATGTGTAGAGAAGTAGGGTTGGCCTAAACTCCCAAACCCCGTCTCTAATAATGAACAGGAGTAACTTCAGCTGACGTGTTCTGTGTGAGACCTTTGTGTTTGGGGCTCTGTGTGTCTGCATCTGTTTCTTTTTCATATATTTGTCTTTGATGCCGTTTCAGTTCAGAAAGCAGAAGTTTGCTTTGGAGGCCGACCGATACCCCATGGACTCTCTGGAGCTCATCAGAAGCCCCAAAGAAATGTACTACGTCCCTCTGAAAGTAGCCATGTTGTAAGTACCGTCACTCATACGGCACACAAGTCGCACCAAATAGAAATTCTGTCCTGCCAGATTCAGCTTCTTAAATTTCATCTTCTTACCCAGAATAACAAAGGTGTCACCACTCGGGCTCTTCCAGCTGCGAAGTTTATTATTTATTCTTGAGGCGACTGTTGTTGTGATTCGATGCTGTATAAATAAAACTGAATTGAATTCGGGGTCTAAAATGAATTCATATAATCTTGCTCAATTACAGTGAACACCATCACTCACCCACAAAACACTAAAATTCAGTCTCCACAAAAATGTGCAAACGATCCCGGATGAGCCCCCACTTATGTCCCAACTCAAAAGCCAAAACATAAATAAGGAGACGAACACCAGAATGTCAGTGAGAAAGAGGTTTATCTTGGCT